TATAATCATCATGATAAAGCAATTACCGGATTCCTTGAAATGTTTCACTTAATTTCTTATGAATAAGTAAATCCGAAACAAATGAAATTCGTCATTTTCATTTATGCAATTCACAGTTCTAGAAATGAATTTTATTGCGAGAGAATTGTTGTTTATTAATTAAATTTTTACCAATGTGGCCCCTCTCTTTCTTTGACCAAAAATTGCTTTTGCATCGGCCTCGGAAGCAAATTGAAAATGTGGGGCTAAGTGAAAAAAATTTCAAACATACAATAAAAACCTGACAAGCAAAAAACAAACAAACAAACAAAAACAGAACAAAATTTTAAAAAAAAAGTAAATGTGTTCATAATAAAGATATTTATAATTCAAGATGTCTTATTATTATACGAATATTCGTTAATATTTTTCAGAAAGGAACGCCTTAGTTTTAATTCTGGTGGAAGGCGACTTGTCGGCTGTGGACCATGTCAAGCTAGCCACTGAGAATGGAATCCCTGTCGTGTTTATGAAGGGAACAGGCGGGTTGGCGGGTCTATTGTCCATCGCTATGTAAGTTAATTGATAAATTATTTACAATATCTATTTTTATTCAAATTTTCTTTTTAAACTTAGCACTAATTGAGTTAAAAACCATTTGAAAACATTTTTGAAAATTCGTTTATAAATTTCAAACGTCATATGTTTAACAAATATATTTTACCAACGTTCCTGCTTTAATTTGATTAAAAAGGACGTATATCATATGTTCCAAATGTAAGTTTGGATATCAATTTTTTATGGAAATTTTCCTATGTACATGTAGAATATCTTTTGGGGGAGGGGGTGGAAAGAAAAGCTCATGATTTTTAAAAACATTTCTAACTTTCATGCAGTATTTGGAATCAAATTGTCTGATAATGCCCTTGATTAATGATAAATCAATTTTTCAGGGAAATGTTGAATGAAAAAAAGACTTTGGAACTGAGAACAGTGCTTCCAACTTTATTCGGAATTGAACTGGAGAATTCAGAGATTGACGAACTTGACAAAAGTTTGAGAACTATCTTTAAAAAATCATATTTAGTAAGAGAAGTAAACTTTCCTTTTTTATCACCTGCATACGGAATTTATGCATCTGACAAAAGTTGTTCCTCATCGTCATATTATTATTACAAGATTAAAGATCAACACATTTTCGTTAATAAAAACATTTATTTTGTCGAAGTGTGGAGTTCCATTCAATTTGATTAAATTGAACTCATGCTAGCCACTTTTTAACACAACATGATTTCTTACCACGGAGCATGATTAACCAACATTATAACGTCAAAAGCAACGCCGAGAAAGTTTCTCAAAATTCGGTTTGCTTTCTAATTTCATACACACTTTGTAGCATCTTTCCATACATAAAGACGTATCACCTGCATAACAATTGTGAATTTATCTAGATTGTGATTGTTTTCAAATTACATTAGGCCTACCGCAGCACTCGATTAGTTCTGCAACAGTGAAGCGCACGTCACGTTTAATGACGTTCCTAATTCTTTTGACACTTGAAGATTTTTTACTATAAACTGTTTCTCTGCAGACCATACTTCGTCTGATTAAACTGGCCACTACTCAAAAATTGTATTTTCCATTTTATACAAATACGTGGCTTTTTTTTCATACATTTACTGGTTTATACAGATTTTTAAAAAGTTATTGACAAAGCAAAATTTTATTGTTTATGAAATATCAAGAATAGCAGCATAGTCTTGTTTTATGTAAATTTTATTTTGTTTCATGCAAATTTCTTCGAGTTATGGCTTCTATGGTGAAAATTACAATGAACTTGTCAGATTTGTATAATATAATATTTCCATTTTTTAACATTATTCGAATTTGTTTTTAAATGCTGACTAAATTTGTTTTTATACTATTTTTGTTAGTCCATTAAATTATTACGTTTTATTTCCATTTCTTAAGTTCTATGGTCGATACAATGAACTTGTCAGGCAAATATAATTTATCAGAGCCGCCATTAGTTAGTCGTTTTATTTCTGACTTAGGGACTGCATGACGTTGCAGATAATACAAAGCACGCAAATTCTCAATCCAATTTTATAAGTTAAATGTTTTTGTCATTCCTATTACAGAATAGATAAACTATAATAGACATATGTAATAGAGCCAGAACTCTAAATTCATCATCCATTAACATGATTAATAAAAATATAAATATTTCCGAGGCTTGTGCATTGTATTTAGCTGATAAACAGTTACATACGATAAACGATGGATAAAAATTGATATCTTTGTCGTTTCTACTCTTGATGGATATTAATTAAGTCCACAACAATAAAATGATTCATTTGATTCTTGTTAAGATTTATTCACCGACATCCAACATATTGCGTACACGTTTATGTTACGTTTGTCCCAGAAATCCTGCGAGATTTGTACATATTGCGACTTTTTTTCTCACAAAAGAGCACACTAAGAACTTTAACTCTTTCATAGTGGAAATATGACGTATTGACGACGGATTTTTTCGTTATTTCCCGATCAAGACAAGGAGCACACGGCGGGTGTGACAGGTCGGCAGGGGATGTTCACTCCTCCATGGCACCTGATCCCACCTCTAATGTTTTGGAGGTCCATGTCTGTTCTGCTCCTATTTTGTATTGTTTTATGGATTTTGATCTTGAATACTGTTTGTAATCTTCATTTGTTTCATCTACCTGATAAAATAAAACTAATATCATTAAAATTATTCTTTCTCTTTTTTTCATACTTTACATTCAATGGAATACAAAGCATATCAGTAAATCGCTTTGCTGCATTATTTCCTGTATTTCAACAAACTTCTAAATTAAAATATCCTTACTTGTTTTTTTTTTCACTTTGATCAATTTTTATTTTGATTTGAATATTTTTTTTAATTTTAAATGATGTAGTGAATTCATTTAATATGTAATATATTTCCTTTAGCTTGATGCCTTTGACGTCTTCGTAAAGAACGAGGAACAGTTCGCGGCTTCTGTTGGGGAGTTGGTTCAGAAATCCTGGTTCTTAGAAAACACAGGTCATACTGAGGATAAACGAGGCAGAGGAAACAGTGAGACATCACACTTGTTAAATCGAATTGTGAATTTTTGATATTTTTTTTCATAAATATGTAGTATATGTTGTGTGTGTGCGTGTGTGTTGGTTTACGTCCTTTTCGATGTTTATAACTCATTTGTCGGTACATTACGTCGCCTGCGTGGCACAGTGAAAATGTAAGAGCGTATGCTCTAGAGTCCTGAAGTAAGGAACAATCTTCAGGTTGCGGGTTTGAATCCCACGGTGGGACGTGGAGACCGGTCTTTCCGATGAGATCGTATAAACCGCGGTCCCATGTCGGTGCTGGCACGAAAAAGATCCCCAAATGCTCGATGGCGCTGAGCGCCGAGCGTAGGAAAAAATTGTAGCTCTCTTGCGGCAAGTGGTTGCGTCTCCACATGAATGATAAATTCTCGAGAAAGACATTAAACAACATACAATCAAATATACATTTAACATTTGTCGGTAATGGGTTTCAAATTTAGAGCTTAACTCGGCACTCAAGGCCATTGAGCATTGAAGGATCTTTCCGTGGTCTCGCACAGTATTTTATTAAAGACGAAAAAATAGATTTAATATTTATTGTTCTTAATATTTTATTATATAATTTAACACAAGTGTATATCAATTTCAAGTATGGAAATAAAATCCATCAACAATTAAACACAAATTAAAAATGATAAGAGGTTAATTAATATTGTACCTGTTCAATGTGGTATATGTAATGTTTTCTGAACAGAGTTATTGCAGCCCGGAGGAACGGGCTGCTCTATACATATGAGTTTGAGTGTTGGTATATGGGGATTGAGGTGGGAGTAGTTATTCAGAATTAAAGGTTTTCTAAACATTAAAAAGATTGTAAGTCAAACTGTTCTTTCTATTTATAAATAACGAGATACACAATATATTCACTTCCATGAATAATATGAATCTGTAAAAATATATATGTTTTTCATATTTAATATATAAAGTTGCTTATCATTTACTATCGAAAAAACGACAGGTCCCTTTTTTTAGAACATCGAATTTTACCTATCGCATAAAAACGTACTTTATACAGTTTGTGTTTTATATTCTTAAAGCAATATACATTTTTGAAAACAGGTGATGCATGTGTCTGGTTTCAATTTATATTTTATTCAACCAACATTTACTTGAGGAATTAATAAAGTTTAAAATTGTATCGTTTTTGTTCGATTTTCATCCGACTACAAGTTTTCAAAACAATATCAACTATCGTCTCCATCATTTTCACGCATGTCTTTTTCACATATATTGAAGCGGTTTGATGATGATGACTCATTTCCATTGTTTACTTTAATTATATCCCGGGCGACAATTGATGGTTACATCAATGTTTTCTTGTGATAAATTTAAATGAAACTAGACCGAGGACTGTATATTTTAAAAAAATGTTAGAAGATACTTTAAAAATAACACACTTATCAAAACAAAAGTGGCCTGGCAAATGAAAATGTTATGAAAAAAGGTTTAATAAAATCCTATCGCATCTAAAAACTATTTAAGAAACATTGATTCATTAAATGGTTTATCATTAAATATTAAATTTCAAAAGATTACATGTATCTATATTACTGTTAATATTAGTATTTTTTTTTAATTGTAATTAAACTGAATAAATTAAATCCTAAAAATAGAAAAAATCACCTGGTCAAAAGAAAAGAATTACACTGAAGCCGAACGTTTCTTTTTATATTGTAAGTCAGATTAGGCATATTTAAAACAGCGTATATTACAAACAGGAATAGAAAAGAAGATAATTATGTATATAATTTTATTGTATGAAAATAAATGGGGTTCTTAAATGTTTATGGAGCATGTAGGTTTTAATCAAATTACTTTATTTCTTGGAAGAACAATCTAGAGAAAACACAAACAAAGAAAAATTTCGGGTCAGCTGTTATGCAATGCCAGAGAAATGGCAAAAGAAGACAATCACGTGGTATATGGCAAAAGAAGAACCGGAAATCCTCGGTTTTACAGCTTTCTCTTCGCCATTTTCACTTCCGCTGGATTTCTTCTTCCGGTTTTCTAAGTTTTTGGAATTGAAGAGGGAAAACCCTTCCTCAGTTGAGGTGGTAAATGAGGCACAGGTATCAACTCTTCTCTTTATAAAAAATTAACGAGTGTTTTTTTTTTATGTCAGTGTATTACACTTCATTATAGTTCATATTACGACTTTATACTTATTTCAGAACTTGTTAAAGACCGCTCTGTTAACAAACAGAACTGACTATGTAGAAGCTCTTTTGGATTTAAATCTTCCATTATCATCAGATGAAGGTAGTGGGCAAGGGGACAGGCATATAAGTGATTTATACAAGGTCAGTAGTATTCTATTTGTGATCTATTTTTTATGTTCAGACGACACAATCCTCGAAGTTATGTAATTTAATTTCCATAGGAGTTTGTCATTGAGGTATTGATATTTAAATGAGCTTTCCCGGCAATTGTCTAAGAAATATGTACTACATGTACTAGACATTAGCATCGGAAGCAAATTGAGAGGGGGGCTAAGTGATTGTGGGGGTTGGGTAGATTAAGCCCCGATTTTCAGTATCTATATTATGTAGATATTTGCTGAAAAGTGGCTCCTTAATTATCCCCCTTGCGCCCGACAGGTATACGTGAAGATGATATTTTTTATGTTATTCTGATGTTTGATATTTCAAATTGCCAATGTCTCAATTTTTGATGAAATTATATTTATTTTAAACATATTTAGTAAACAATTCAGGTACTGTAGAAGTACTTTTTCCAGCGTGGTATTAATTTACGCTATGTACGCGGTTACAAATTTTCCGCGGAAATTTGTCCCAGCGTACTTTATATAAATGTTAGGCATATAGTACCAGTCTAAGATATCCGCGTAATTTTCTACACCTGGATGAAACAGAAATTGAGATTCAGCGGAATTATGACCCCGTGAAAAAAAGTACAGTATTACAAGATAATTACAACTTTGACATTTTTCGTTATGATACCGAAAGAAACAAAACGAAACTCAGTATTCACAAATGCTATAATGTGAGCATTTAAATTTTTAGAGATTTTTTTTTCGAGTCTTGTTAGTTACATGCTGCCTTTTTGTCCCCCGCTTGAAAAGTGGGGGATATTAATTTGGGTTTGTCCGTCCGTCCGTCCGTCCGTCTGTCCGTCCGTCCGTCCGTCTTTCTGTCTGTCTGTAACGCTTTCGTTTCCACACGATATCTCGAGAACCCTTTGAGCTTTTGCAATGAAATTTAGCATAGCAACTCCCTATGGACTAAAGAAGACCCCTATTGATTTTGAGGTCAAAAGGTCAAAGGTCAAGGTCATAAATAAGCAAATTCTGTCTGTTAAAACACTTTCGTTTCCACACGATATCTCTAGAACCATTTGAGCTATCGCAATGAAATTTTACATAACAACTCCCTGTGGCCTAAAGAAGAACCCTATTGATTTTGAGGTCAAAAGGTCAAAGTTCAAGGTCGTAAATTTATACATTCTGTCTGTGTGTAACACTATCATTTCCGGGCGATGTTTCAAGAAGATTTTGAGCTTATGCAATGTAATTTTATACCAAAACTCCCTAGGACGTCTCTCGCCCCTCTCAAAGTGCCCCGCCCCGTTTTTTTTTATTAGTATTTATAGTATTACATGTCGCTATTTTTAGCGCAGGGGCATGAGGAGAGTTATTGCGTATAAAACAGGTTCTCGGCGGACTTTATGTTCTTATTACATCTATTATAACTGTTTAATAAAGGCTAAATAAATCAAACACCATGGATTGTGTAAAATTTTGAGAATACCGAACATGAAAACATGAATATATACATGTATGTGACTTTAGTTCTGCATATACTTCACTTCATGTTAAGCGACTCCGTGGTCTAGTGGTTATGTCTCTCGCTTCACATGTGAGTGGTCCCGGGATCGAATCTCGGTCGAACCTTTTTTTTTTTTTTTTTTTTTTTAAAATACTTTTTTTTTACTAAATGATAGTATTCAGCATGTGAAATGAAAAATTTATGAGGTTTTAAAATCATCATTACAGTGTGATAAATATTCCATATAAAAAAATCTTCTATACATGTACACATAATAAAGAATAAGCAATCAAATCTTTATATGCATATTGACATACATGTATTTTATTTCCTTCAGTATACATGTATACATTTAATAATTCTACAAATTCAGTCAGGGGGAGCCGACTTTTTCCCTAAGCGGGGGACACGAATTCTCTGAATTAGCTTGTTATTACAGGTTTCATTGTGTGATTACACTGAAAGAGGGAAATTTTCAGGAATGCGCTGGGTTTTAAAGGTAAATCTTTTTTTATTCCGTGTCTTTATACGTGAAAACATTAAATTAAACAAGATTGTACATGGACAAATTTCTATTATGGAACAGGCCGGGTGTGATATCGCCATCATTCCGAACCTCGGGTATGAACCGGCACGACAATATTCGGCCAAAGCCTGTCGGTGGCTCACCTGGATGAGTCATCAGAGTGGATGTCACATACGACATGCCAGAAACGGAGGCGAAGTCCCGATCGGAAATTATACCGTCGACGGATACCAGGAAGCGACTCGTACCGTCTACGAATTTTACGGGTGTTATTGGCACGGATGCCCCACTTGCTATCCCAGACGGAAACTCATCCTCACCGGACCCAATTTACTTACCAACAATTACACGAGAAAACCCTCAGAAGGACTGTGGATTTAGAGGACATGGGGAACACCGTGTGTAGTATCTGGGAGCACGAATTCGATCAGCAAGTGCAACAAGATGAGAGTTTACAGCAATTTGTACGAGATCTGGACATTCCCGATCCTTTGAAACCTCGAGAAGGCCTGTACGGAGGCCGAACCAATGCCACTAAATTATATTGTGAAGAAGGGGACATGAGATACGTGGACGTGTGTTCCTTATACCCTTACGTGTTGAAACACAGACCCTTTCCCCTAGGGCATCCCGAGATCATCACAGACGACTTCCAGGACGTGAGAAATTATTTCGGTCTCATTCACTGTCGGGTCTTACCACCCCGAGGCCTCTTTCACCCCGTATTACCTTATCGGACGGGAGGCAAGTTATTATTTCCCTTATGTCGCACGTGTGCCCAACAACAAGACTCTACTTCTCAACATCCATGTCAACACACCGACCGGGAACGTAGTCTCACGGGTACTTGGGTGACGAGCGAATTACATAAAGCCCTAGACATGGGCTATACCTTAGAGCAAATTTACGAAGTGTGGCATTTTAAAGAAAGCAGACAGGATTTATTTACAGAGTACATCAATACCTTCCTCAAGATCAAACAGGAAGCGTCCGGATTTCCCCCCGACTGTAAGACCTCAGAACAAGAACAAGATTACATTCGACAAATCTTAGAGAAAGAAGGATTCCTGATGGACATTCTCAGTATCCAGAAGAATCCAGTGAGAAGAACCATTGCTAAACTCTTTTTAAATTGTCTGTGGGGAAAATTTGCTCAACGGTTGTTATTACCCAAAGTCAGATACTTGGACGAAACAGAGGAATTACATCAACTCTTACAAAATTCGACTCTCGACATCAAGGGAATGCGACTCTTAGTCAATAAAGAGGATTCCAATGAAGACAAGATTCTAGTGAATTTTCAAGACAAAGAGGAATTCGTCGAAGAATGTCCCTTTGGAAACGTGATCCTAGCTTGTTTTACTACCGCCTATGCCCGCTTACACCTCTACGAGACTTTACAACCTTTAGAAGAACGGGGGCTTTATTTCGATACGGACAGTATCATTTACCAACATCAGGAAGGAGCTTTTAATCCTACCTTGGGCAATAGTTTAGGAGAATGGACCGACGAATTAGACGGGGATCACATCACTAAATTCATGTCGGCAGGTCCTAAAAATTATGGTTTCCGCACGGACAAAGGAACCGAGATCCTTAAATGCAAAGGAATCACTCTCAACCATCGAACCTCCAAGATCGTGTGCCCAAACACTTTAGAAAAAATGCTTAAGGGAGAAATAAAGGAAGTGACAGTTCCTTATGACAGCAAAATCCAGAGGACCCGTGATCATGAGGTTGTGAACAAACCTTCAGAGAAAAAGTATAGAATTGTATATGATAAGAGACAAATTGTAGAGAATTATAACACTTTACCTTATGGTTATTGATATGTTGATATGTTTGTTTGTTTGTTGTTACAAATAAAAGATTGAATGTTTTATGTGTTGTTGTTTTTCTTCTTCCCTATAAAAAGGGGGGCAATACAATCAAAAGTTCAGTCATGACTGAGAAATTGCTAGACCAACCCATGCGTTAACCTCAGTATGCTCAGCTCTCAAAGAGAGAAGCTACTTTTGAGCAGGGATGGCCAGAACCTCTCTTAGGAAAAATACCAGACCTAGCTCGAGCCGGGTTTTACTACAGGGGAGTGAAAGATAAGGCTATCTGTTTTAATTGTGGAATGATTTTTAGTAATTGGGATCCCGAGGACGATCCTTGTGTAGAACATGCTTATTGGAACCCCAATTGTCCTTACATCAATCTGTATAAAGGACGAGGGTGGGTGATGAATGTGTTCATTGCGGGTTTAGATCAGCAGGGATATAAACCTTTACCTGAGATTAAACCTCTACTGAACCCAGAACCAGACGTCCAGGCTCGAGGAAAATGTCACATTTGTTTAGACGAGGAATTACAAATCGTTTTTCTACCTTGCGGACACGTATGCTGCTGTGCTTTGTGTGCTCCTTCTTTTCAGTTTTGCCCCATCTGTCGAGGTGAGATTCAACAGTCCAAACGCCTATTTCTGTGCTAACTATAAATAAAAGGACAGAACTCAAATTTGGTGTTTTCTATTGTTTAAGCAAGCTCCTCAGTCCTAGATTTTTTTTTGCCACACTCAGTGCTAAAAGAATGAGATTATTGAATTATTCCTAATTAAATATTCTCTATTGGTTTTTTCCTCTGCAAGTTAAAAAATAACTACACCTGAGAGTCTATATAAAAGGAGACCTACAAATCCTAGAGATCATTTCTGATCTGATTGAGGGACAGAGCACATCATGGAAGTTTTAAGCTCAGAGTATCTTTGGAAAATAGTAGAACCAGAAGGGACTACTTTAAAGGGAGAATGGATGAAAAACAAAGAGGAATGTATTCAAGATTTCTTTGATAAGAATCCAGGACAAACAGGTCTCAATGAAATCTACCTGTATAAGAGAATAAAGTTACCTGATCCCATAGGGGACAGCATCCTGCTCTTAGCAGGACCCAGACATATCAAGTATCGGGAATTCAAATGGAAAATCAAATATGTCTTGCCTCACCAAAGAGAGGGACCCGAAAGCACTTTGTTTCAAGGGAAATGGATAGAAAAACCCGAAGATTGTATTAAAGATTATGGTAAGAAAGTGGCCCTAAAAGGATACAATATCAAGGCCTGTGGTAACCGTTGTGAAACACACTATTTGTACATGAGGAGACCGTTCCCCATACAAAAAGAACTGAAGAAAAGTTTTGAATGTTTGTTATTATGATGTTCTTATTGTTGTTATGAATAAAAATAAAAGAAAAAACCCAAAAATTCTAGTATTGTTAGTTATTTCCCTATAGACACGCAAATAAGCGCTCTCTCTATACATTAGGTTTTGTAAGGATGACGTCACAATCACGGATTTGAATCGCTGTCAAGTATTTTACCTGTGTACATAAAAAAACGTAGGTCTATCGTATATGTTTTTGCACACGGCGCCAGTATTTACCTGTGTACATAAAAAAACTTAGGTCTATCGTATATGTTTTGCACACGGCTCTTACAGTAAAGGTATATATAAAGTGGAGCTTTATTCAAGAGGTATATATCAAAAACTCTCTCTCATTCTGAAAAAGGACACGGAACAAGTCAGACGTGTTTTTTGTTTCCCAAAGATGCAGTATCGTTGGTATTGTGAGAGTCCCATTAGTCAGTGTATGTACATGCAAGGAGGATGGATGAAAACTAAAATAGGAGCCATCATGGATTTCTATGAAAATCATCCAGGCTATTCCCTGGACAATGTGTGGTTGGAAAAAAGAATGAAAATCCCACCTCTAACAGGATCTAGAGTGAGGGTGAAAATCAATCAACATTATCAGCAATTCAAATGGGTTACTTGTACTCAAAGGAATCATCTGACACTCATCAACACCATTCGGAATGAAAGTTCATGGTACTCGGACATTGGAGATTGTCTGAAATATTATATCAAGATGGAGAAAAAAGGACTGACGTTTCCACCTCATTATTGTCCTACAGAGTATGTGTATTGTCGCATTCCCTTTGCCCAGATTAAAGACTCGATGGAAAACAAAGGACTTTTGTTGACTCGAGTGATTGAGGACCGATCATCAGAAGACGAAGAAGATATGTAAATCATTGAATAAATTTTTTTGAATTTTAAAAAAAGTGTTGTTATAAATAGAAGGGTCACAGGTCCTTTATTTTTGTTGCTAAAGTATATCACTGAACAATTTAAACAGGTATAATTTTTTTTACTTCTTCAATTTTAAGGTATAAGGTCAAAATGATTCAATTTCACATGAACACAGTTCAAAGAAAAATAAGTCTGTCTAACATAAAAAAGGAAAAAGCCATAAGCTTTTCTAAAAAAGGTGTTGTTTTTATTGAGATTGTGCTAGTGGTTACAGAAAACTTAAGGAGAGGATAGCCTATTATATTTTTTTATTTATTCAATTGGACAAAAAACCACATGTGGTACAAGTCATACATATAGTAAACAAATATAAGATTAAGAATGCAAACCTGCATGGCTTTTCAGTTTCACTCCTGTTTATGTATCGCTGAGGTTTATATATTATCCCATTATTAATGCTTTGGCATAAAAAAAAATGAATTCAGTTTTATGCACTTATTAGACAGCCTGGTAATCAAAAGGAAAAAATTTAAATGTTCAAATTTAAAAAGAAACTTTAAGATTAAATTTATTAATTTAATTCAATTTTATAATTTTTTTAAAAACTTTAAAATTCAGGTTTTCCTTGGACAAAAAAGAAGGGTTTTACCCCCCCTCCCCTCTCCCTTGGGTGTTGGGTGAGGGTTACACCATCCTCCTTTCATAAAAAGATTATTTACACATCATAGCCTCTATCTACATGAAAAGTCATGAGTTATAAAGGAAAAAAGGGTTCTTCCAATGTTCCTCAATTTAAAATGTATATATAGTTTTAAAACTCTTACATTCCTCTTAATATTTGGAAGGAAAAATAAAGGATCCAATGTATACTTCTCATACATAACAACTGCCTTCAATATGAATTGGTAAAACTAAAAGTCACATTTAGATACTTTGAAGTCTGTGAATTATTTCTTTGAAGATCTCATACTATCAGAAAATCACAATATCAATTCTAGGATTTGATTAGATCTCAGTTTGTTAAATGACTGCAATTTATCTATTGTTGTGTATGACAGAATATGAAAGATATGAAGGGGAGAGCTTTTGACCTTTTTTTCCCTTCATCATAGTTTAAAGTATATATTATACCGGTCTTTATCTATGTAGTGAATATAGGATTTTTCAATAATTTGAGAATACTTAAATTAGGAAATATATGAGAGAATAAACAAGAAAATTAAACCTAATAAAATGTTTTTTTACTACAAAGGGGATTATCTATAAGTAAATTTAGTCTATACATTGAAGGTATTTCTGTATGAAATA